CTCCCAGAGTACTAGGATTACAGGCATGAGCCATCATGCCCGGCCCAAGTTTAATCATTTTTTTTTTAACAAGGAAAAGGAAAACACTGCTAAATGAACCTCCACTGACAAGATACATCTTTGTGCCTTGTTGACTTATGTATCTTTGTGAATTGTCAATTATCTCTTTCCTTTAACTGTTTCCAAATTGCCCTTCAGAAAGCTTTACTGCTAATTTATTGACCTTTGCTTGACAAGAGATAAACTGAAATCTGTGTCTATTTCCTTCTGTCCAAAAATCACAACATAACCATCAACTATACGGCCTTAAATTTAACACTCAGACATAAGGCTTTTTACAAGTTTGGTAGAAAGAACATGAGAATATGAAGCCCTAGAGATTCCTCAGCGCTCCCTGCTCACTCTGTGTGCCACACATGCCCCTGGCGGGGAAGAAATTCATCCTGCCGCGTGGCTCAGCATGACTAGAAACCGCAGGCTAACATTTGGAAATGTCATTTTTATCGCTCTCCATGTGAGGTTCCATTTGCCTTTTCTGGAGTTCACAAATTACGTTTATGGCATTTCTCTAATAGCAGACCTTGAAAAAATCTACGTTTAAATGAGTTCACAAAAAAAATAATAATAATAACCATATGAAATAGCAACTCAACAAAACTCTCTGGGTACACATAAATTAATGCTGATTTTAGTATTCAAATATATCTTCCCTAAGACTTCACGAGTCACAATAAGGGAGCAAACATACTCCATAATAAATACAACAACACATTTCAGAGTGTAAAAGGCAACTAAAAAGTGTAAGGAACAGCAAATCTCAGGCACAAAATGTCAATCTGCCAACTGAACACATAGGACACAAAAAGCATGGTTCAAAGAGTGGGATTAGACAAATGAATATCAAATCCTATTTTGTAAACCTAGAAATTGGTGCTACACTAACAGTCCCATAATAAAAAATCAGGCAACAAAGGTCAGTTTATCTTGTTAGCTACTATTATTCCTTTCTAATGATTTCAAAACTAAATTCATCAACGAAAACCTCTTGCTACTCCACAATAACAGATGAAAAGCTTGCTTTGTAAAATAGGTATTAAGTTTAAATGCAATTTAATACTTCCAAATACAATAGTTATTTAATAAGCTAACGTATAAATGAGTTGTTTAAATTATCCACATCAGAAATCAATTACAATCTCAAGTAACAGCACGACATCCTCAGGTCCATTTACACACAAGAATAAAGGCTGGTCTCAAGCTGAAGACACACCAAAAGAATAGGTACTTTATTAAGCCTTTCATTTTAAAAAGCCAAAATTGCCACACGGTGGTGCACACTTATAATCCTAGCACTCTGGGAGAATGAGGCAGGTGGATTGCTTGAGCTCATGAGTTCGAGACTAGCCTGAGCAAAAAGCAAGACCTCTATCTCCACTAAAAATAGAAAAGAAAAAAAAAAACTGAGGCAAGAGGATTGCTAGAGCCCAAGAGTTTGAGGTTGCTGTGAGCTAAGAAGCCCCAGCATGAGGAATGCCTCTTCCATCAAAGAACTTTAAAATCTATTACCAAAAAGCCCAGGGAAGATATTTTCAGGCGATCCCAGTACTCCTTTCCATAAAACCTAGATGAGGGCTCACCATCCTCGGAACACAGCAGCCCAGGTAAAATGAAGGCGCTGCCATAAAAGTGAAAACCCAGTCCCCATCAGGAATCCAGACAGGAGCTTTTTAAGGAGCTCCTCCCGGCTCAGACCACATAATGCACATGACAGAGGAGAGAAATAAATTCTGTTCAAAAGTTTGCCAAAGAACATTCAATTCTAGTCCACCCAATAAAACATTTCAACAAAGCAAATTTTAAAAGCTGTTCACAGCTCTTAAAAAATTTTTTTTGGGCTCGGCGCCTGTGGCTCAAGCGGCTAAGGCGCCAGCCACATACTTCTAAGGTGGCGGGTT